TTTGGGTTGGCCGGAGCGGGTCACGTGATTGGTGTGACGTCGCCGCGTCGTCTGCTGCATGATGCCGCTTAGGCATTTTTAAAAAAAAAGTTATGTCCTTACGTGGCACAGAACTTAGCGCAAATTATTGTAAAATGTTCCATTATTATGTCAAAAACTATTGTCGTTCCGTACATCCCCACAACAATGAAGAAACTGCGATTTTCCCATGTTTTCCATGCATTTCTGACCGGAGTTGGAACCTCCAGGAGTTCGCCACTAGTCGCCGAGAGATGGCGTTCTAGATTGCGGTACTCCAGAGCCGTATATGGGGAGAGTTTGGTCAGTCTATGATCCCGCCACCGTAACGCTCTCCTCCTGAGCGAACCAATCAGCACGCGGCGCAGAGTGAGAGGCATGAGCGCAAACTTTCGGCTGCTCGCAGCTGAGTGGGAAGGGCCGCCATCTTCGATCATTCTCCAGGCGGAATGCATGGAATCAGCATCTAAATCCCGATTATTGCCTTTTATATCACTGGCTCTGGCAAGAAAATTACATTCTGTTATCCCTCGCTGGGTTAAAAAGCTAACAAATGAAGATTTTTCGGCGCATGGCCCCAAACTTTTATGCAGGAGAAAAAGAAGTCAGCCCGTAGCAGACGACGCGTAGCCTCAGCAGTGCTCTTATCCGACCAGCCTCCGACAGCATTGCTGAAAAATGGTGGTCGTCTTCTCTCTGCTCCCTTCTTTATCTCTCGCTCCTACGGCGCTCTCCTCCCTTTCATTTACTTTTCTCCTCTCCGGCGCCTTCGTCGCCACACCTACTGGCCAAACTCTCCCAATTTACGGCTCTGCGGTACTCTGCTCCGAAGGAGCTATATGGTGCTCTAGTTCCAATCACCCACCTTTTATTTTAGCCGGGGGCGAGCGCGAGGAAACAGGAGGAGCGTGCTGCACCATGCTGGGGCCGGGCAGGAACAATGGAGCCGTTTTGGTTGATCTGGCCCATGGCGATTCCCGGAGTGTTCCACCAGCAAGGTTCGGATCAGGATCGGCGGAAACGGCGAGCCCTGGCCATACCGGCCTAGGCCGCGACGATCCCAGACTGGTTCCGCAGCAAGACTCGGGCTGTGATAGCCCGGAACAGCTAGCCTACGCGGCGCTGGCGTGGGAAGGACGGTCCGCAGGCCTGGACAAGGACGCCGACTGCGATCTCTGAACGATGGGAGACAACCAGGGTCGGCGGGTCCGGACTGCCAGCTCTCGAAGACGGACAACTGGGAAGTACAGTAAAACGATTAGCCGTCTTCTCGTTGTGTTGTGTCCTTCCCTGGGAGACGAGTGAAACACATACCGATCGGGCGGCGATTATTATAGAGCGATCCTACAAGTGGTGAAGACAACTCAAAGAGGTGTCCGAATGACAACTCAATATGCTTGCCGGCTGGCTATGCTGGGTAAAACGAAGACTTTCGAACTGATAGCCGCCAGAAACGTTTCTGTAAATCTATACATTCAGGCTCGTATCGCTCACTGGAGATCAAGCTACAAACGTCTCAGCAGATCTAATATTGCGCAATTCCCGATGTGCAATGCAGCAAACACAAAAAGAAACAAAGATCCTTACCTTCCTCGTGACTTGCTGAACTTGATTCTTCCACGACGAGCTCGCGGTGCTGGCGGGCCAAACTGCCCAGTGTACACAGACGCCGCCGACGATTCCCACCACTTATAGCGACACAAATATTTTTTCATTCTTTTAACTCTCTTCCAGGATACAATGAATATGATAATAGTTTTTGGAACCCAAAGCAATAAGCAAGCAAGTTAACGTATGTTAGGAGATACATTCTACTGGTTTCGTTTTCGCGGTCTCAAATTTTTGCCGCCAGGGGTTTTCCAGATTCTCTGTCGGCTCCGATGTGCATGGCGGCAGCCAGGACGCGTATCGTTAGTATCGTCCCATATCGTCCACGCCGTGCTATGCATTTCGGCCTGCTGTTGCAAAGGTAAGCAGTACTTTGCTCTGAAATATGTTAATTTTGCATTTTTAGAAGTTCTAGATTCCATAGCGCAGACGTATTGCACCTTGAAACGTATGAAAGTCGGGGGAAAAAGTACATAGTAAATATGCGTATCGTGTAAAAGCTGTTTCACATGTTGCGATTCTCGCCCGAAATCAGTGCGATTTCCAGTAAAATGTGTGATTAAAGTCGCAGTCGCACTGTCGCAGCGGCTCTGCGACTGCTTTCCACCGAGTTGGTATTTTGCCGCAGAGAGAGTGCGATCGCTTTCTTGTCAACCAGCCGTTCATTAGCCAGCTTTCGTCTGCGAGAAGAAAATAAACGTAGGCACATAAAAGCTTCTGGTTTAATGCCTAATTATTAGAAATATCTAGTTACATATTGCATTCCTAAAACATTTGTGCTTATTAAGACGTTTTTGTTGTATTTTAGATAAAGTCAAAGCGTCGCGTCCGTGTCCGAAGCGCCGGCCACTCAGACAGAAATCGCGCGGTTGTTGGAGCATGTGAAACCAAACATTGCGATCGCACTCGCTGCGTCAGCCGTCGCACCGATTTTTTTTCCCCACAGTCGCTGCATGTGACGCAGGCTTAAGAGAGTAGTCGGATAGTAGCTTTGTGATTTCTGTGGTGTTCCCTTCCGGGCTTAGATTTGGCAGTGTTTCGGTAGTTTCAGCCGATTAATGTTTAGCCAGGTAAATAGACTGGGCGATAGTTTAGGGGCGAGCGTTCACTCTGAATCTTACATACCTATGCACGAGGAATCAGCCGTAATTGTCGGCCGAAAGCTTCCTGTTTGGCGTGGTTTAATTCATCCCTATGTTGACCTGTTTACTGATAGAATTTGACGTGGTGCTCTTTTCTTTTAGGTATCGTACTCTATTGCTGCCCGATGGAAATTCTATCAGGATCTTTCTACCAGACACGAAGTCGCGATCGTCCCTGTGTGGTTTTCATTCCGGAAAGTGGAACAGTGTCCGATGTGGGATCTGGTGATAGTGAAGTAAGTGACAGTGGCGAGGAAAGCTTCCCAACGAAGGGCCTAACAACAGAACTTCCAAGCGATAACGAAACTGAAGGCGGAACGCCCGCCTTTCCAGTTCTGTCAAGAAAGAAACAAAAGTCACCACCGCAAGTTTTCGACTGGCGAAAGGAAGACCGGTGTTTAGTGGAGCCTGCGGAGGCCGTGTTTACGGCCTCTGATGATGTGAAAAGCCCGCTGAAATATTTTCACGTTTTCATTGATGACAAGCTGCTGACGGTGATTGTTGACGAGACAAACCTCTATTCTGTGCGTCAGGCTAGAGCGTACGGGTAAACTTTTGTTTCACTGTGTCAGCATGCTTGCACAAAGTACATATTATTCAAACTGAATCGTTGCATCGTTCCTTCAATTAAGCACCTTGTAAAATCGAATGTGATGTTTGAGCTCTATACATCTTATTTAATTTTACAAGAAAACATGTTTTCAATCAACACCAGACATATATCCGTAATGTGTGCTCACCAGATTCACCCTAGAGTGCATGTCTGTCCAGTTTAGTGTCCCGTGGTGTGCACATTAGACTGGTCTGGTGTGGCATAATGCGCACATCAAGCCATTCTAGTGTGCTGTGGTGGGCATATCTGACCAGCCTAGTTTGTTTTAATGTGCACATCAGGCCACACTAGGATGGTGTGATGGGCACATCAAACCAGCCTAACGTGTTCTGGTGGGCACACTAGAATATGTTAGGCTGGTTTGATTTGTGCACCAGAACACACCAGGCCGGTCTGATGTTCACAACAGAAAACACTAGAAGACTCCAAACTGGTCTGGTGGATTTTTCAATAGGGAAGTGTGTTAGCTGCTAAGGGGAGTACTTTGTAGGAGATTAAGATAGCATTGTTTTAGAGTGCAAATATTTTATAAAAAAAACTAAATGGCTGGATAAACAGGTCTGATTCTATGTAGAAGTAGACATGGCATTAGTTTTGCCACAAAGCACCCCTGTATTGCAACGAAGTACTCTTCACAAAATAAAAAATATGAATAGCTCTTCATTTCTGCGATATTTGACAATATTAAGGTGGTTATTGCACAGTCATCTAAAACTACAGCATGCAATGTAAATGTGATGTAGTCATGCCATTAGTTTTGCCGGAAAGGATTTCTGTATTCCAATGAAGTGAACTAACAAAATGGGCGATATGAACAGCTTCTAATTTTTGCTTACATCCAAGTCCTCAGATTAAGGAAAGGTTAATGAATGTTATGTATATTGTGCGTTTTCTGATGTCAATGCTTATCCCGGAAGATTCTTATATATGTCCTGCGGGAAAGTATATATTATGGCACTATGTATACACCTACTCATTGACTGAATTTGTAAAAACTGCTCAGGAGATCTATAAGGATCTATTTTACAGAATTATTATTGAGCACATTACTTATTTTCAACATGTGAAGATGCCTTAAGTGTACAAGAATCCTACATAAGTCTTGTGATGATTCGGACACCAAGCGAAATAGAGATGTAGTGAATCGCTTCGATGACGCCTGGAAAAGTGTGCATTGCATAAAGTTTGTGACAAACGACCCCGCATCTTGTCGTTGCTGCTTTTCACGTTGACGCCTTTTGTATTCTGAGTCTTATAGGCATGAACCAGCTCTCCCAAATTGCGCTCTTGACTTGGCACCATCGACATAGTTACTGAGCTACGCTAATTATCAGTGCCGCATGTACAGCTCTCTTTTTCACCCAAGGTGTGGGAAGGTGCTGCAGCGTAGCAGAAGCGGCGCTTCCAGCACCAAGAGAAAGAACTGAAACAAGAATTGGGCAACTGCCTTTTAACATGTAAACAAAACAGAAATGTTTACACATGACTTTGTGTGCTGTCGAGTACATACGAGAACTCTGTCTGCTCCAACACAGTGGAAGGCATCTGCTGAGCCAGCTCCTGCTATGGCGTCTTCCTTCAGCAGGAACTTGTCAAAAGAGAGCACCCCTTGTGCTGTTTTACTCCCTTCGCCTCGCTACACGGGCTCGCCTGGCAAACACCTGGTCAATGAGTGCCGATCTTGCACTGGTCCTGCCATGGTGCTCAGGAACATGCTCTACTACTACATCTGAGAAGACGCGTCGACGACTTGCCAACCTCAAGTCTACGGGTGGTTCGGCTTCACCCAGCTGGAGTGCCAGATTGTGGACCACTGCCATGGCCACGATGCTGGACAGTGCAGTCCCCAGCTTGATGCGGAGTCCAAACTCCAGAGCGGGGAAGCGGCGCTTCCACACGCCATACTGCCTTTCAACAGTACTGCGTGCGGGTATGTGGGCTCGGTTGTAGGCTCTCTCAGCTGGCGTCTTCGGAGCAGCAACTGGTGTGAAGAGGTACCTGGAGCAGGCATAGCCTCCATCTCCTAGCAAAATGCTCTCATTCATCTGTCCACTCTCAAACAGTGCTTTTAAAGCACTGTTGCCAAAAATTGTGCTGTCATGCACCGAGCCTGGCCACCGGACCACAATGTTGCGGATGCAGAGTTGATGGTCTGACACTGTCTGCACATTAATAGAAAAGTATCCGGCCCGGTTCCGATACAGTTCGGCATGATCACCTCCAGGCGACTGGATGGGGACGTGCGTGCAGTCGATTGCTCCAACAACGCCTGGAAATCCTTGCATGCTGTAGAATCCTTCGGAAACAGTCCTGCGTTCCGCCTCGGTCGTGGGAAAAGAGATGAAGTCCCTTGCCAGCGCAGCAATGGCGTGCGTGACCCGCTTGACGACTCGACAAACAGTTGACTTGTGCACACCCCACAGGTCGCCCAAAACTACCTGGAAGGTGCCCGTCGCGTAGAATCGAAGAGCGACCAGGAGCTGGTTGATGGGCGACAGTGGGCAGTTGCGAAGGCCGTCGAAGGCGATGGCGTGTTCGATTCGGCTCAGCAGCCGGATGGTAGCATCTTTGGAGAGTCGGAATCGCGTGATAAAATCTACGTCATCGTACCGGTAGAAAGGGTCGTCCCTCGGCCGTACCTGCCGTGGTCTGCAGCGGCCCTGGATCCAACGAACATCGATGGAATCTTGATAATCTTCCAGGTCACTATCTTCCCCTCCAAAAAAAGCCGAATCGGCAAACATGTCGTCGTACAGTAACCATTCATTCTTCGGGGAAGCACCTGCTAAAATGTAAATCGTGAGGTTGAAAATCTTATTAAATAGAAATATGATATGGAAATATATAACTAATGTGATACACAAGAACGTTAAAGCATGTTTAAATAGTTTATTGTTCAAGCGAGATGTTTGCCACAATAAAAGTTCCAGTAGCAGACGTCAAGAATCAGCTGATCATTGCAATCAGACGTTGCCGCTAATCAAAACATCGATTGCGACGACTCCGCTTCACGGCGAAGAATGAAAATACAAATATTTACACCTTGGACACACGTTTCAGTAATCTTCCAAACTAAATACTTTCGATCGTGTACATACGCTGATTAGATCAAACACGAGTCGTGCAAAAAAAAAACAACCTACTTATGTGACTTGTCTCCGCGATCCCCGCTTTGCCCGGTTAGGGCTAACGCTCATTTTTAGTCGAGAGCGTATTTAAAAATAAGGGTCAATAAGCACTTATCGTGGCTATATTTCGGATCCTTGGCACAATTGAAGATCATTCTCTGGTCATTGTTACACAGTTGTAGCCTAAAACACACTTTAGGACCACTTTTGTCCACCGCGTCGACCGCCACAAACCAGCCGCCATGTTTTTAATCCAGGATTAAGAAACAACCAAAAACTAAGCGCCCAATGTTGAGCGCTTAAGTTAAGCGCAGTTTAGTGCTAGGTTTAGCGCTAAGCGATTTTGGTGCAACCGAACGAAACCAAAACTTAGCTTAAGTTCCCGGCTAAGCTCCGCTTAGCGCTAAGCGGCGTTGGTGCAACCGGCCCTAAGACCGGCAGTCATGATGGCGCCAAATGGATATTGCAAAACAACAGTGGAAGCACGCCGACATCCCCCGCACAGCAGTCAAGCACACAGCTATGCACGTTTTTACAGCGCAGCTCTTAGGCGCCCGTTTCCAGCTTGAGCGGCGTCAGCGTATCCGCGACTCCCCCCTCTCCCCCTTCCTTCCTTCCTCTTCCTCCCCGAGGACCTCGGGAGGACTTCGGGTTCCTTGGGGGGGACCTCAGGAGGACCTCGGGTTCCTTCGGGAGGACCTCAGGAGGACCTCCGGAGGACATCGGGTTTTTTCGGGAGGACCTCGGGAGGACCTCGGGTACCTTAGGTGACCTCGAGGAGGGGGACAGGGGTCACGTGACCGATCCCCCCTCAGTACTCTTCCGTACTCCTCCTCAAGAGCTGCGCTCTAATTCGGCGTTACAGGGAGTTGTAACCGGCTTTCACATTTTTGTTTCCTGTCGCTCTCAGTCACGTGAATTTTGTATCTGGTATGCAGGATAAAAAATTATAAAACATTTCAACCTGGAATTTGCGAGCAAATATAGGTGAGGCAAAACAAGAATGGGGGAGAATCACTCATTTATCGTAAACAGCTACGAGATCAAAACGGTGTTTTACCATATACCAGAAGTGACTGTAAAGCTGTTGGAGTGGTGAATAATGATCAGAAAGGCGGCAGAGACGAGTGCCAAGCAATGGCGACCATCACATGTTCTCCACCTTTATTACCTCTTCCTCTTTGTCCCCACTCTATCAACAAAGTCCAACCACTACATCTCTCCCCCAGAAGGAGATTGATTGATTGAGGTTTAGTGGCGCAACAGCATCTAAGGCCATATTGCGCCAACAACTATGACTATTGTAGGAAACCAGGGTTATAGAGCTGTAGTAGCTTGTGGGTTATAAAAACTGGGAACATAAAATAATACACACATGGCCATGATTTCAGGAAACGTGTTAAATAATAGCTGGTCTAGCAGTCGAATATCTCTAAGAAAATTAAAAACGCACTTGTGTGGTATTAGCGGTTCGTCGCCGAGTAAGATAACCAAATGGAATGGGGTATGCTCTTGGTAAATTCGTGCAAAATGTCTTTGACGTTCCCGGTCATACATAGGGCATACAAGTAAAATGTGCACTATGCTTAATAGTATGTGACCGTGTTCACACTCTGGAGCATCCTCCTCTAGCAAAAGGTGCCCATGGGTAAGACGTGTATCATCGATTCGGAGTCGACATAATACCAACTCATAAAATCGCTCACGATGACGTGCAGTCTCCCATTCTTGAATTAAAGGTTTTAGGGCATGCAATTTATTTTTCATTTCTTGGTTCCACTCCTCTTGCCACTTAAACTTTGTAGATTTTTTCAGGACATGCCTGTAATCTCTGTAGGGCATCTTGTCTGGATCCACGTGTCGATCCTTAGCAGTGCTCGCTGCACGGTCAGCATCCTCATTCCCAGAAATTCCTACATGGAAAGGTACCCAGCATAATGCTATTTTTTTTCTTCCTTTTCGATGCTGAAAGTAACCGGTTCCTTATTTCTAGAACAAGTGGATTTTGAACATCCCCCATTGTGTCCAGAGCTCGTAAAGCACTAAGTGAGTCAGTGTAAACAATTGACTTACGGATCTTCCTTTTAAGAATGTTGTCTATGGCAAGGAGTAAGCCATAAAGCTCTGTGGAAAGAATACAGGCACTATTGTCAGTTCTCTGGACACACTTCACAGAAGGCCCTACCACTGAGCAGCCTACATAGGAATCAGTTTTGCTCTCATTAGTGTAAAAACTTGTGAAGTCCGGGTACTGGTCCTGGAGTTCGAAACATTCTTGTCTCAGAACTTCATTAGGGGTCTCTTTCTTGATATTGTCACGGGTGGTGACCAAAAAAATAGGAAATAAACAGGAAGAAATAAACGTTTAATGTGGCGAACTTGTACCAAAAAATAAAAGGGGTACGAAGTCGGCGGAGCAGCACAGTCGAACGCTGGGGCGAAAACTGGCTTCGGCTTGCCCGCGGAGCCGCTTTTGTACACACGTTGGCTTCTGGAGCATTCGACGTAGAAGGTTCGACGCGTAGAACATTCTGACCTCGAATCAGCTAGACGGTTCTCGATTTCACCAGAGCATCACATTAAAGTGTTAACAAAAATGCATAGCCGCGGCCAGGAATCGAACCCTGGCCCTTCGCGTGGGAGGCAAGCGCGATAACCGTTAGGCTTGGACCGCGCTGCCTACTTGGCGCGCGGCATTACTCCCCCCTTAAAAAGTGCATCGCCCCGATGCATCCCAAAACAAAACAAAGCACATAAAAAGAACGGCAAACTAAAGAGTCACTTGAAACACATAAGATCCACAGTCCTATCGAGCGTAGTACGGCTTCAAGCGCACGACGTGGACGACATCAGGTCGTGGTGGGCGGCGTGATGATGTTCTTGTTCCGTCGGGCATCACCTCGTAGTTCAGCTCGCCGAGGCGACGAAGTACCTTGTATGGTCCAAAGTACCGTTTCAGCAGTTTCTCACTGAGGCCGCGGCGACGGATGGGCGTCCACACCCACACCCTGTCTCCGGGCTGGAAGTGAACGTCCCTGCGACAAAGGTTCTAGCGGCCCGCGTCGACGCGTTGCTGGTCTTGAATCATGAGTCGCGCGAGCTGGCGGACTTCTTCGGCGCGTTGAACAACCGCCGGGGCGTCGCCGCTCTCATTGTCAGATGGCTCATGGGGCAGCATTGCGTCCAGCATGGTCGTTACCTTCCGACCCTGTACCAGCTGGAAAGGGGTGAATCCGGTGGTCTCCTGAACCGCCGTATTGTAGGCAAACGTGACGTAGGGCGACACCTCGTCCCACGTCTTGTGCTCTACGTCGACGTACATAGAGATCATATCGGCGATTGTCTTGTTGAGTCGCTCCGTCAGCCCGTTGGTCTGCGGGTGGTATGCAGTGGTTCGACGATGGCCGGTGCCACTGAGACGAAGGATCTCTTGCGTCAGCTGGGCCATGAACGAAGATCCGCGATCTGTAATCAGAACTTCGGGAGCGCCGTGCCGGAGGACGATGGACTCGATGAAACACTTAGCGACTTCCACAGCAGTTCCTGAAGGAAGAGCTTTCGTTTCGGCGTACAGCGTTAGATAATCTGTAGCGACGATGATCAAGCGGTTCCCCGACGTCGAAGGCGGAAAAAGACCAAGTAGATCCATTCCGATCTGCTGGAAGGGTGTAGTTGGAGGAGAAATGGGCTGCAGAAGTCCGGCCGGCCTCGTCGGCGGTTTCTTGCGTCGCTGGCACTCGTGGCATGATCGTGTGTATAGGTGGACGGTCTTGGGGAGCTTCGGCCAGTAATACTTTTCACGAATACGGGCCAGTGTCCGGCTGTAACCAAGGTGTCCGGATGTCGAGTCGTCGCAGGCTTGGAAGATCTCCTCTCGAAGGCAACTCGGGATTACCAGCAACCACGGTGTGTTGTTGTCGCCGAAGTTCTCTTTGTAGAGTACACCTTGTCGGATGTCGAAGGTCGGCAGTACTCGTGAGAAGACACGAGGCACGGTACTCCTGTCCACTTCCAGGTGCTCGATTAATGCGCGCAGCTCAGGATCGTCCCGTTGACGTCGTGCCATATCGCGTGTGTTCACTGCTCCTAGGAAGCACTCGTCGTCATTGTCGTCGCTGCAGCCGGAAGGGGTTTCGACGGGGGCTCTGGACAGGCAGTCGGCGTCGCTGCGCTTGCGGCCTGACTTATAGACCAGTGTCATGTTGAACTCTTGTAGTCGAAGACTCCATCGAGCGAGGCGTCCTGACGGGTCCTTCAGGTTCGCAAGCCAGCAGAGCGAGTGGTGGTCCGTGACTACACGGAACGGGCTCCCGTATAAGTAGGGACGAAACTTCGTTATTGCCCAGACGACCGCAAGGCATTCTTTCTCAGTCGTGGAGTAATTTTTCTCCGCCTTGGACAATGTCCGACTTGCGTAGGCGATGACTCGCTCGATGCCTTCTTGCACTTGGACTAGTACTGCGCCCAGTCCCGCATTACTTGCGTCCATGTGAATTTCTGTTTCCGCATCCTGGTCGAAATGTCCAAGCACAGGAGGAGTCTGGAGTCGTCGTTTCAGTTCGTCGAATGCCTGCTGTTGCTCCTCCGCCCATTCGAACTTCTCGGCGTCCTTCGTG